CCATACCACGGTGATACCAAGACATCTTACGACACGGAAGCTTGGCGACCTTTTAGTTCAATCAGTTTGTTAGAATTACCATGAGCGTTCGTATACATACCAACAGTTTCTCGGTCTCTTTTAGCCCGCATAGAGGTGAAGCTGTCAAATGTGGGAGAAGGCCGACCGATGTGAAGTCGACAGCTACTCGTTTTTTGATGGGATAATGATATCTTGTTTGCAAAATGATTCCGCCAAGGTGCGTCCTAACCTTCGTTTAGACCTACGTCAGAGTCAGCAGTCAATTTACTCTTCTGTACATTCGTCAGCATGCTTGCTGCTTCAGTTGCTCTAATATTTGAGCTGTGCAAAGCGTTTACAACCTTTAACCGAATTTTAGAAGGAAAATGTTTCCGATTTCTCCGCTATCGATCTAAAACCTCATTTTCTTGTTACTCTGACTGAACCACAAATTTTAGGATTCTAGGGCCGCATGCTCTATAATTTGGTGAGAGAGGTATCCTGGTGAGCGATAGTGCTACAACATTCTCCGAAGAAAGTGTTTCACGAATGTACCGCTACTGTAGTAAATCTTGCTTTCCTGTCTCTTGAACATCGTTAAAAGGATGTTCTGGCAAGCTATGTATGAACGTTGGGTTTAGGCGGCCTTTCTTGCTGTGCCCCTCTTCCGTGTTTCCTTTTGGGTGGCGCGCGCTCCAAGAGACATCAGGATAGAGAGGTCTCCCGCAGCATTCGTGTTTTAGCGCACTTGCGGAGAGCAAAACATTTTCTACTTCAGTGGATGGTTCTAGATTTACTCGAATAAGTCTGGGTTCAACATACTGTGTTGAGTCCCGATGACGAATAATTCGTAACATGTTTTTGAGCTTGGCTTTTATATTCATCTGCAAACACCATGAGTTCTATTTGTCTTGGTCGTCTGACAACTTACCTCGTAATGTGATGTCGGTAGATTTAGAGACATTGAGCATAAAACAGTCCGGGCACTATTGTTGGATCCCTTTGTTGTCGATCTACAAGATATGGTATTCATTTGTCCTGACTTGTTGACAAGTGGTTGCTTGCTGCTTTTCTCTCCACTTGCGTTAACGGCATTTACAATGGAAGAGGAGGCAGCGGCGGTCTCTCGGTGGACCCTTGCAGCAATCTCAGCATATGTAACCGATATTCTGGGAGGCTTAGTCTCGACAAGAGATATTTGAGCTACAGGTACCAAGAGTTCGTGTTTGGCTGTTTCATGCTTTTTAATGCTAGATGTCATGTCTAGTGGAATTTGCTTAACAAGACGTTTTGAATGGTGCCTGATTTCCGTTTCCTTGTGCACTCTTTGATTCACGTAGGTACATTTTGTATTCGCCTGACGTCCTATCAAAGTTGGAGAAGACAACACAGATGGAGAAGTTGCTGACTGCGGTTCAGGGAAAGCGCATTGTTCCCCATTCCGTTTCTTAGCATTCGCTACGCTACTGTGGTCCATAGTCGCTTCCACTGAAGTAATCTTGTTGTTTGTCCTCTGCTCTGCTTTGTGATTAACCAGCCGCATTTCTCAGCTGGGATAAGCAAGCACTTAACGAGGGGATGGTAGAACACGCAGTGTAGAACCAAAATGCATCTTGGGAGCTATTTCGCTCCTGCAACTGTTGTTGGGTCACATTTGCACATTTCGTATGGCACCATTCCAAATAGTGCGAACAAGCCAGACCGATGTTTACTACTCGATGACATACTCCTAACCCGAAACTGCCTTTCGATGGGAGTCTCTTCAGTTTTGCTTTTCTGTCATTCAATTTGGTGTCTTTACTTGACCCAGTGGGTTGGTTAGTGTTTTACTTTTACAGCTTTGATAGCGACGCACATCGGTCAGGCGAGCGTGATGGTTGCAAGTTTGATGGGTGTGGATAAATTGAGGTTTTACCATGCTGACCTATTCGGTATGCATCAAATTGTTTTGGTTAACGGATGTAGCGGAAATGTTCCGTTGCATGATCAGTGCCCACCAAGGCGCTGTTCACTGCTATTGTTTCGAGTACTTCCTCAATGGCAAATACGAGAGCTAGAATGGCCAGTTTTTCCACATTCTTAATCTTCTAGGGGAATTTATGTGGTTATGAAATGATAGTGCAGCGAATATTGATTGATATTCATTCCTTAGCTATTCGCTATGGATATCCAGGAACTCATGAGCGTGTATGTTAAAGTGTATTGCAAGGAGAGTATGCATGCTAGGCTGAGTCAGAACGGTTTAAGTACAGAAGCTATACGGCTGTCCATTTCTGGAGGGTACCTAGAAAAACGCTATACAAGCGTGACTAAACTTGTAGCTAAGTCTTATTTGCAACCTTAACGTAAGTCCACAGTCTGAAGTTCTTGGTCAGCAATGAGTTGGAGATGTACGTCAATGCCTTGATACAAAATTACACAACATCCTATGCTAAATCATTGTTTAAGTAGGACATCCAAATTTTTGTTGAGCGACATGAGCAAAAGTAATTTAATCGTTTAGGCAGGTTTCAGATAAAATTAACAAGACTATTGACATGGTTACTTGAAGACATTGACTCTCAAGTCTTTGTTGAAAATTGTCCGAGCATTAGTATACTTATTTGGGATATCTTCTCATGTTAGAATCTTATGTGCGGGGTGGGGCAGTTTTATTTGCGACATTCTGTAGAATTTTGTGAGGTCGGCAAATAGTCGCTACTGAAAAAGTGTCGTCACCGAAGTTTTCTCCGCTTCATATCGGTTGGTCAATAGTTTCGCTGATATAGTTCCGTCTTAAATAACTAAATAAAATTATAGATGCATCTCTGATTTTTGGACGATGCGAAAGCCAATTCCTGCATCAGGAATGAGCAAGGGATATGGAGCTTTTCCCTTCACTCCCAGTTAATAAGTAGATAGAAATATGTATTATGCTATGTTTATGTCAGTTGCGCACATGTATGTTATTTAGGACGAAGCACAAAGGCTTGTATGATCCTTAGATCCTCCATTAACGGAAGTCTCCTAGAACAGGATTAATTCGTTCTAACCAGAAGACGAAAATGGGACTATAGAAGACAGGGCGGCTTTTAAATCACTCAACTAACGGGAGATCAGCGTTTAGCCATCGATTGGAACACGCTCAGTAGTCCCAGTTCATAGTGAACTGACGAATGAAAAAATAACGATTGTAGTAAGGTAGACAATAAACGACTATTGCTTCTCGCTTATTCAGCAGTTGACTGTACTCTGCAGTGGATCGTTTCGAAAGTACAAGCCGCTGGAATCACTGTCAGACCTTGGTCATTTGGGGTATGGCTTAAAGACCTTTTAAACAAGCACCTAAGAGTGCATCACGTTGTCGAGTTAATGCATCTGGTGGACTAAGTTACATTTAACAACCTAAGAGAATTAATCCTCACGTTAAACAGGTGTCTGAAGTTCAGGAACGCCACAATTAAAGTCGATTTCTCGTTTGCCAGCTATCGATACTCATCGCAATGTCGTTTGCTTCACTTACGCTCAGCTTAGTGGGTGTTGGGAAAATTGCGAACGTCAAATGTGGCCGTCTATAGGTTGGTGACTGATAAACGATCTACCATAAAGCCCCTAATAAGTGTAGCACCACCCATAGTAGTTGTGGTTCTCAGTGTCCTGTCGAGTTTGGGTACTGTAAGAACCGCTCCCCGCTGGACGCTTTGACATAGACGTTCACTAGTAGAAATGCTTACCACTGTTTTCTGCCGTCTAGCATTTTATCCAGTATAGAGTAGTCGCCAGGCACCTAAACACAGAAAAATATTATTTGGCGTCTGATGAATAAACTAAAACTAACCCATTTGAGATGGAATTTGGTCTGAGTTTTCGTAAAGTTTTGAGCGTATGTGAGTTTATTGTGCCTTATGAGATCGGATAAATTGTGGTTACAAAATGCCATCCTAACACATTGAGGTCTGCAACCGATAGTTATGTATCAACGAATTAAGCGATAATGCGTGTGTTCGGAGATTCGTTAGAGATGACGTAACAGAGTTGCTCCATTCTAGTGACTGTTTTATCAGTATGGTTGGCACCGGATTGTGTGCATCTTGATGATATGCTGGGATTCAGGTTAGAGTTTTCGTGTACTACGCTTTACGAGTTTAACCTTGTCCTTTAATTGGCCACTAGGATCAGCTGTGAAGCCTTGGGACCCGAGCCCGGCTGCTGTTGTATCCAAAGGGAAAAATTGACCCAATCTAGATTCCATAGTCAGCACGTCCAGATTATGGCATTTCCATGCTAAAAAGGCTATGCACTTAATAAGTGGAACAACCAGACAATTAATGCAGACGCAAACAGATTTTTTTCATTTGTTAACATTTCTACTTCTATCCTATTCAAAAGCATACTCCGGCATGAGACTGTTCTCGCTATCCATACTGCAAAATACTGAATCCGCAAAACTGTTCGGCTTTGGCTTGCTGGGTCCTGTTCTACGCTGCAATTCGTTTTTCGTCAGCTTCCTAGGTATATGTGGAACCAGACACCTAGGGTGGCTGTTGTCTACACACTGAGCGGGTTCCCCATGGTGGGTAGGAGAATGACCCGAAACGCGAAACATGTTGGTCACACGAAGCTGGAATGGGCGATTCGCCGATTTTGATTGATGTTGTTTTCGTAGGTCAGCTTAAAACCAAGCGCTTTGCAAAGTTCGATAATTACTTGAACAGCAGCGAAATGACGGTTACTAAATACTATGCGGTGAATAAACCTTGGGTTGATTGAGAACCGATTTGGCCTATTAGATTTGCTCGGAACAAACATTTCCAAGTGTCAGTAAAAGCTTAACCAAAACGTAAAAGGTGTAGCAGTTTTGCTTGTGCAAGTTGTAAGAGTGGAATATGAAGTAGAGAAAGCAATAAGTGTTAAATGTGATAGATATGTATGTCTGCTAACAACAAACAGGTTGCCTGGCTTTTATTATACATGTGCACTTGGTTGAAATTCAACAGTTATTTATTTGTCATTCACTTTAGACTATTTTTCAATCACGGTTGCTACGGACGAGTGGCCATATGTTGATTTCATGAATCACACACTTGGAGGAAGCGTGGAGTTATATTGTGGATCTCATGTACGTGGTTTTTCTATACACCACTATCTACACTGTTAGCGATCATCTCATATTCATTATGTATCTATTTTCACTTAATGCCCAACGAAAAATTCGACACCTAAATCAGTTTAAACTTCTCCATGTCTTAACCTTCTTGCTTCTACCACAACCCCAGTTCATCCAATCTAATTCTCATAGCATTTTTGCAACATTGCTAACTTTAAATTACCACTTCAAATCACTCAGCGTTCCTATTTCGATCCAAATTCGGAGAGAAACTGTAAAGTCTACAGGTGGTTCTATGAGCCCGAGACCAAAGAATTGACCTGCGTTTGCAATGTGTCAGACGTGGGTAACAAGGACAAAAGGCTATTGCTAAAAGACAACGGCGCACGAGGGATACTGGCAATTTCGGAAGAGAGATTTACAGAATGTAAGTTGTGATTACCTATATGCCACTGTTCAGTTCATAAAACCATCTTAATTAATACTCTGAGTGTGATAGACAAAATCAGCCAGTTGTTTTTGAGAAATTGCCTCTGGAAATACCGCTGAATCTGGAACAACGACTTTATACGGGCAAAAATGCTAATGCTTAACTGGTGGAACTACAAAATATAAAAATATGGTTTCCAAAATTACATTTACACTGGTGAACTCACTGAAGTATATGTAGTATAAACTAAGAATTCAAGGTAAATCCATAATTAATGGCGAAAAGTTGGATGTTGGCAAAACCGTGTCTTCTCCTGGTGTACACTTAGAAAAGATGAAAAGTGTGGAACGGAATCTGTGACTTGACCACCTGTGAAATCTCTTACAGGCCCTTGTGTTTATCCATGGGTACCTAGTCATGCAAAGTGATGCAGCGAATTAAGTGGGAACATATATGATCGATTGCGTAAGCTCCTTCGACGTACGGAAAACCGTAGGGAAAAACACCCTTGACAACACTCCAAGCGACCATGTTGCTCTGCAATGTTGGATTAGTTGTCTGTCAAATTGCTGTTGTGACTGAGCCCTCGCATGAAACGACACATGTTGTTGGGATCTCAGAAAATCTGGAAATTCGAAATGTGGTCCCTTCGCAATCGCACTTACTGTCCGCTGAAGACTCCAAGCAATTGTAGCCTGCGTTTATACGGTAGCTTATACAGACCCTTGACATACTTGGTTGCGCGGCGTTCGGGTATTTTCAAGGAGATGAGATCTCTCCTCAGCCATGCATGTCAGACTTGAATTGCGTATTTCACATGCCCCCATGCAGGTGACGAGTAGTTGTGGAAAAATCGAGGGGTAGATTAGTCCGATTGCACGCTTCCTGAGGCCCACACGTTGGATATCCTTCCTAGACGCACTTTCACACTGCTTCGAGCAATCTTGGTCGACCTGTACCAAAACTCCCAGATCCTTCTAGCCAGGAAATGTTTGAAGTTCTTGGTTGCTGAGTTTGTAGGAATGCACCAAGTTGTGCCGTAAGTGCAGCACTTTACATTTGTCTGTATCAACTCAAATTAGATTCTGAATTTACCACATGTGTGCCCTATCGAGTTCAAGTTGAAGAACTGTGATATCATCTGGCTTATACATGGTCCTCCACACCTTGGTGTCATCGGCATAAAGCTGGCAGTACTTTAATATCCGTGAAAAATAATCGCGGTCCTAGTACTATTCACTTTGGTACTCTGCATTCAACTCGGATGGGATCAGAAGGGATGCACACACAGGTAGATCCAGGCGCCGATATAGAAAGATTTTGAGCCGTCCAAGTAGAGGATCACCCTATACCATAGGCCTGCAGTTTCAAAAGTATTGCATCATGGTCTAACCGAGTGAACGCATTTGAGAAGTCATGAAAGACTACAACAACAAATGTGCCACAGTCTACTACCGCACTCCAGCTGGATCGTGCTAGTAGTAGATTTGTGGTTCACGATCGCTTTCTTTGAAAGCTATGCTGTTCCTTTGCCTGATTGCTAAAATCTTCCAAGTAGGCCGTTAGCGCATCAGAAATAATAGCTTCCATGACCTTTAAAATAACCGTTAGTAACATTAATGGACAGTAGTTAAGTGGAACGGAACGACTATCTCCCTTGTGTATAGGAGTAACCATCCTGTGTTTCCACGTGTCGGCACGTGCATTTGTTAAAAAAAGTGTTTGAAAATTTGAGTCAAAATCTTAGCTAAACTTTGTCCTACTACCGCTAGCACTTTCGTGTTTATATTGCCAACTTTAGGAGAGCTGTGCTTGCGCATACTCAACGGCTTTTTCAATACAATTGCTGCTGTGAACGATATGTGAATGTGTCTTGGGGTTAAAACTAGCACCGTCATTTGGTTAAGAGGCCAGTGATAGCAATGAAATGTTGTATCATATTGAACACGCAGGGTATTCGCCGCCTCATTCGGTGACTATGTGGGTCCATCCGCTCTTCAAAGAGGAGGACGTCCCGGTTTCAATTTACTAGAATATTGACGCTTAGATGCACAAGCTTTATGTTTGACGCCATGTGTTGTTTGATGAAATGCAAATATTTGTTTATATTATAGTGGATTTACGCGTGTATTTTGATATAGTCAATGTCATTTCGTCTAGTTCTTATTGTGGTGTTCCGATATCTATTTTAATTTAGTTGATAAAGTCAGTCAGGGCTCATTTGGTAAGTCCTAGTAGAAAATATCCCAATATATCTGACAGAAACGAGTCCTTAAAATTACGCGCCCAGTTGTACACTCTCACGCTCTCGGTTTATTTTTCCTTGAAATTGTGTGCTTATAAGTAACTTAATACATTAATTGACCCCTAATAGCAACACTTAGAATTGCAGGTTTCATCTGTTAAAGTTGTCCTTAAGCATATCGAAAATTTCCTCGTTTCACCTTACTGGAATGCAATTAAATGACGCAGCAAATTCGCACCACCAACCAAGTGGAGAAGCACAACTTCAAACTGGGTTCTGGCTACTACGTACCCCATCATTTTGTGTTTACTTTATAGTTCTCACGGACGTTTACTGTGTAGGATGAGGGGATACGTTGGCAATAATCGTTGTCAAATATTTTCCATATGCAGCTAGGATATATTATCGAGTAGTTGTAATTTTCCCACTGGTTGTTAAAATGCCGATTCATGTTAATTTACCTTGCCAATTTACACGGCATCGCTTTGTTCTTATTACATATATTCTATCTTGCTTGGGAACTACTTAGATACATCACCTTCAAAGTGCCGTGCTTCAGGAAAATTTAAATCACACTTGGAACCTCTACGTACATTTAATAGTAGCGTTCCTCTCCGTGAATGGCTGGTCCATGGAATTAGGTTAGGGCTTTATGAGGGGCATGAGGTGTACATATGGAGTTATTATGTATACTCTCAGCAAATTCGCCCATAACACAAGCTAGGTTCTTGACATTGTCACGGAGTGCTAGGTTCATCAGCATTCCTGCTTAGTCCTGATCGCCATCGTTTTTCAGCATATGAAATGAATATCTGGACCCAAGCGGACGCAAATGAAACCGCTCGTTTGCTAGTGAGTAATACTGCGCTCTATATTTGTTATTGGCACAAAGTGACAATATGATATCATAGGAAATGCTTCCTCTAATCAAAGACAAGTTTCCGAGAAAGCTTGCATAGTTGTTTTTTATAATGCGGGGAGCTTAGTACGCCATAAGATTAAAATAACTATGTGCTTACCCGGGTGAACGAGTAAGACAAAACATAAAATGTTTGATTTATTCTAACCTGATTCATTATTTTGCAATGCTCTGAATGCCAACAAATTTTAGATGACCTATTCCACCCAAATATAAAAGAGATTGTCCAGCAATTATGAGAATTATGCTCCAGTGTTAACAACTGGTAGAACGCATGTTCGGATTTTGACACATACCACCAACAAGTTGTCAACAAAAGTGCGTCTGACAGAGGCTGAAAGCAAGCCAATATTTGGTGGTCTAAGTGTTCGCTGAGCTCAGCAGTTTGACCGCACACATTTCGTCAAACCTCGAGGTGACATCGTCCGTGCGCGTGTTTTTAGCAGAGTGGCGCGAACACGTATCCGCGGCTGGGAGATCGATCACTCACACTTAGTGATGTTTCGTAGGCGCCAATCTGCTGAATACACGCGCACTGAAGATGTCACTTCGAGTGGTGACCAAACGTTTGCAGTAGAGCTGCCAAACTCAGCGAACACTCAGACAACCAAATGAACATCCTAAGCTACCAACATTTGCTGCCATATTGAAGCCAATGTTTGCTGAGCAGACACAAAATCAGCGGCAGTTCGTTGCAAGTCCAGACTCGTACTCATTTTAACCAAAACGTATGGCAACTGCGGAGTCGTCAGAAATAACAGACAATTCACCAAAATTGGCTTTTGCAAATGTAATTGGCTTTTGTTATACGCACAAGCCGAACTGGCCCCAGATTGTATAACTATAATTTCCAAAAACGATCGAAAGCTTGCCCTACAAGTCTCGACGAATATCCTTACAAATAGATTTCTGTGTTCAAACGCGCTTCTGGCAGATGTATTTCTCAATTGGCTGTATGTATATGAACAAGACCTTCGCGTTCACTAGTCACGGGTTGCATGACGTGTTGACCCAAAAGGTGTGTTGACGAAGCAGTTGTGCACCGTCAGCAGGTGGCACTATGTAGCGTTCAGTTGAAGCTGGTTTTTTCTGTCTATTCCTTATATTGAGTCAGATCTTCCTGGAGGTATTCACGGTTAGATGATGAACGAATTTCCCTCCATATTTAGCATCCTCAGCAAATATTTGTAATGGAGTTAGAATGTCTGCTGGACGGTTAATAATGTAGATAATATACAGTAGTGGGCTGAAGACGGATCATTGCTCAACACCACTGGAGATGCACAGACTTGCAAAGTAAGTGTCAGCTACTCTTAAACTGGTTGCTCTGTCATGTAATTAATCGTCTAACCAGGTCAGCAGGAAACCGTTGATACCGTAGGCAGTAGGTTTTTGAAGAGAAAAAATTGTATTGACCAAGTCGAATGATTTAGCAAAATCCAAATAAATCACGTCTATGGAGACTCCCTGGTCCTGACCCATGAGTCTGAAATAAATATCGAATTGGTGAAAAAGATCGTCTACGTCTGAAAACATATTGGGCACCATAACATATTTGTAGAATTTCAAAGCGTTGCATCAGTTCATCTGCGATTACCGAATCCATCACATTTGAGAAAATGGGAAAGAAAGTAATAGGTTGGTAGTTGGCAGGATCCGATCGCTTACCACCATTATATATTGGTGTGATAATTCGCTTTTTCACCCAGAGTGGAGTGTGTGGGAGTTAAGCGGAAGCAAAAAAAAGGTTACCATCATGCTGCTATGGTGGGAGCAAGGGTTTCCAGCTGATCTTGTGGATTCCATGGTCACCGTACTCCCGGAGAGACTGTTAATTATTTGCAACAGCTACTGGGGTAAAGGTGAAGCTGGATAAACCAACGACATTTGTTGGGAGTTGCTAGGGCGAAACTTATAAAGCATTTGTAGCTACCAAACCAAAATGCAGGAGTAGAGAGTCCGCGGCATGCACAGCAGTAGTTGTTAGGCCACTGGCCGTCTTGTGTGGTGGTATATTAGCTTAAGCTTACTTTTGTCATCTAAAAGTCTGTATACTTGTTTGGTGTTATTCGTGAATATCATCACATGTTCTCCTGCCATTCGTACTTACCAAATATTATGAGCGACGTGCAATAGTTTCTGATGACTTTGTGTTTCTGACATGTGATATTACATGGGCTTAGCAAATGTTGACTGCAGATCTCATCTTTTCTGTTGATCCATTTACGTATTGTGACCTGTATCCACCAATTGGTCCAACGCGGTGCTCGAAATTGTTCAACCTTCGACGCTGATCCGTAATAGTTCGTTGAGCCGCTCTTTCCTTAGCAACAATGCAGGCATAACACATAACCACATCGTAGAACTGAATCGTTGTAACTGAGCAGTGGAGATTCGTATGCTAATGACTCAACCATTAGTTAGGATTAAGTCCAAGAGTGATGGCAAGTTTGAACCGCGGTGTCTGGTTGGTCGATGCACATGGTCATACAAACCTGTCATTTACACGAATTTGAGGAGTACCGATTTAAATGATGTTTCATTGGGGGATTCTTACGCTTGAATTCACTCATTATAAGATTGTGAAAGTAATTTTGTGAAACAGCATAGCGCAGGAGATTTAAACGCATGTTAGCACTGTCTGTTGATGACTTCGGAAGTATATAGATAACTGCTAAACGATAAGCATCACTAGTCTTCTGTGAACCAACATCTCTACCTGCTACATGCAATTGGCAAATTAGTGCTTCGGGAATAACAAGAGAATTTTCGGTAGGAGACTCACATTTCGAATAATCTCTGTGGTAAAGTGCAACACTGCCACCGCGAGATGGGTGTTCTTTTCGAATGACTGATATCTCACAAATTAAAAAGTTAGACCAAGTATGTCGTTTGAGAGCTTCATTTCAGTAATTACTAGAAGGTCCCAAGGTGTTGCTTGATGTCGATGACACAATTCCGAGTTACAATACAACCCCCGAGTGTTTATCTAACAATATTGTATTTAGTGACGTATTAGGCAATCGATTCGCTATGAGTGACGGGCAGAAATATTGCCGGTCTGCTGAAGTTTTTTGAAACAATTGTTTGTACGCTTTGCTGCTTTGAGGTAGGTACAATTGACTCTGGCTCATCTGTATTTCATGGTCTGTATTAATTAAAGGAATATTCTTTACGGTAATTCCAGTGGCCTAAATTTCCTTTTGTCATGTCATGATTGGATTGCCCCTGATACTATTTCGAGGATGCCAAGTTTACTATTAAAATTCGTAGACCGTTACCTTGGTAGTTTGTGGAAGCTATTAGACGGGTGGCGTCAAAAGCGACGACATACTGCATGTTATAGAGCTTTGCGTTGTACCTCCATTATTTGATGTAGTACTACTCGCTTTCACTGCTATCTTTGTGCTTCAATTCTGGCACACTATGAAACAATACCACTTTCTTCAAATCATTTTCACGTGACGAACTAGGTTTTGATTCCCGCTTCTGCCTTTCCGCCAATTGACTGTCAGGAAGCATGAGGGCACTGACAGAAGAGTTCACTAGAATGTGGCTTTCTAAGCGAACATCTTCCAGCTCGCGTGTGTTGCGAAAGGTTACTCGTAGTAACTGTGGCCCGTTTACGTGTGAAGATGATTGATTTCGTGAACGGCATGTAAGACTCGTTAGGTGAAGTTTCATCCCGAGTGTGCAGGCAATTTTCGCCCAGCTGCTATATTCCTCAATTTGTCCTCATTTTAGCGATTTGCTGGTGGGTTCTGGGACGTTTGAACATATCACTGTCATCACCTTTTGGTTGCGTAGTTATTGTTTGTTCTGCAGTTCCTTGTGAGTGTAGGTTTGTCGAGCGGGGGTATCTGGTTTGTCAGCCGTGGGCGATAGCTAAGGCTACAGCGAGATATATTACGTGCAACGCCGTTAGTTGCACTGACTGTAGGGGTCAAATTGTGTTGCTCCGCTCCTGAGGGTGGTGATCGCGCAATATGTGCAAAACTCTGCATGATGTAATCATTACGTGAGAATTGGGAAAGGGTACAACCGGCCTTTCAGTTCGCCGACGTAACAGCCTACGTTTGACACCTTATCGTAAGCATAAGTACAATCTTAATTATTAGACTATTCCAACCTATGTCACAGAACCACACCCTATCTGTTGATATACTGTTAGCTCCGCAATGGGTAATATTCACATTTGTTTGCTTTGTAGGATTTGGCACAGGACGAACACGTCGTTTTCTTCAGAATTTCGGTTCCCTGCTTGTCTGAGCTACGGTGGACCTTGTGTTTGTTTCTCAGTTGGTTCCTGGTTGACAAACTTCTCCGGCCTATGTATAAATGGTCCTTACGCACCTTCAGGTTGCGCTGGTCACGCCGTTTGGGCTGTCTTAGTTGTCTGCTCCGGTCTGCCGGTTTGGTGGTGGTGCCTCATTACGCGCACAATAGCCCAAATCACACAGGCTTTGTGTAATTAAATGCATTTAAAAATATGGTGGTATCGTGAGATGACAAACGCATGTACCTTTAGTATACGGTGACGCATAGTATTATATATATTGAATGACAGCCGTAAAGTAGCTCTGTCGAATGGATCCCAAAGGTACTGACGAACTCAAATAATCAAAGTTATTCAAGTTGGCCTTAGTGAATAGACTTCGGAAGCGTTTGTTTGTGGTGTACAACCGCGTTGTTGGACAGTTCAAAAATATTGACCTCGGTGGATAGAGCTCAGTGATGCGATTTTATTGAGCGTACTCCAGAAGAGGTGGCACAAGATTAAGAGTGGATAAGTTCAATTTAACACAGAGCGCAGGATTGCACAATTAGCACGCACACGCTGACTAGGTCAGCATAACCTCATGTAACATTACCAGAGAGTGAACAGAATGCTTGGATCAAGTTATGAAATTTGCGCTTCAAACGCAGCAGATGTTCTAGCAACAAAAACACAAGGACTTGAAGGCGTTCTTGGAGGAAAATTCGAAATATCTTACCGAATTTCATCTTTTGTCTTAAGGATACCGATCAATCGCTATCAAGGTTTACTCTTGCAGTACTTACACATAAGGACCTACTAAAGCGGATGATTTATTCACATCAGTATAGCTCCTCGATATAGGCAGCGCTGGCTCAAATACTTCGAAAGCAACTGCCATGTGTTTTGCTTACCAGCGATCAATATTCTTTTAGAGATGTCACAAGCAGATGCAGGTTCTAATACTGTGGGTGCAAGGGGGTTATCACCTGAATCTGAAAGTGACAGCTGGGCCGGTCCAGTGAGTTATTAACCGATGACACAAATTTCGGTGATTAATAAGGTCGTGGTTGTCACTGTAGCCGAGTCACTCCTGGATTACCTAAAAAACAAATATTTATCGTACTGGCGAAGAACGGATTTCAAAACACGAATCAAATAATATCCCTTACATGATGGACAGAGTTGGTAAATGCGGCAGAAGGACTATATAACTTTCATCTGGATATTTCTGTCACTCGGCCTTCCGGACCATCGCTCAACACAGTACTCACTTCAGATGCATGGAATCGGCGATGCAGTTCTGCACTTGATAGGCAAACCTTTCTGTCAATGTCATCTTAATGAAGGGTGGTAGCGACACCATCTACGACCCAATCGCGATGCATTGTGGCGCACATACATGGATCGTGCTCGGACCAACTTTCTTTTTCGTCTTAGTGAACGATCACTTGAGAACGCTCTCTTCAAATTTTCTGGTATTCACATTTGTTTTGATGACAAAGCGCGCTACCAGTAAATATAGAATCACAAATCCCTGCAAGTGGATCTGTATGGAGCTCATGCGTGGTCGAGTTTAAACATAATATATTTCAGAGTTAAAAATCGCAAGATTTGAACAAATGCTAACGGAGCCCAAAAGGATGCATGCTCGAGCCACAGATTATGTAGTACAATTCTCATGAGTGTGATCACGTTATGCACTTGTAAAATGACCATGACTGTTTGAGGACGAATGTAAATGTATCAGAGCAAATAGATCAGCAGTTTGGTCTGTGTGTTTAGTGCGCTCGGAAATATAAGCACCAAAATATTTGAGCAGCTGTTTGGCGTGGCTGGAAGCCGCAAACAAAACCTCCTATCGTAACATTGCATACCTACCTGTAACTCCACTTCACTGAGCTCAGGAAAACACAACACAGTGTGATAGACATCGCCAAATGATTTTCCAACATCACATAATCACACAGGCTAAAAAATCTAAAATAGACTACCGTAAGTTTTCGCGCATCTAATAATATATTTAGCGATCTTTCGAATTATGGCCATAATTGCCATCATCATTTAACAATCAATCAACCCCAATCTCCGAAGCAGCGTCACAGTGATTTAACTGCGGGGTAGAGTGGACCAGAATGTCGGCGAAACGTTTAATAACTTCGCTTTTCAGTATTCTGGATCTCTCTGCCATGGAATGTTATTAATGCCCTCAAGGCATCAAAACCTGATTTCCTGATACGTCGAAACGTTTAGCCTACATGATTTAATCTGTTGCATTTATACGATAACCCTAATGCAGTCAGTTTGCGGATCCTTTAAAAAACTGGCATGTTTACTCACAGCTTTACTGCAACAATTCCCTTAATGTGTTAAGTGTTTTAGGTCTTCTTTAATAGACCCAGTGCCTTTATCTTTTATTTGCACCCCTTGAATCATTTTACTGTCTTTGAGAAACATTTGCATTTTTCCCGACAAAATACATTGCTCTTATACCCTTTCAGATCGTGGTCCAAGGATCAACATTTTTCCCTTAAAATTACACATGCTTAGCTTCTGTCAAACAAGCGAATGTGACAAACGAAATATTTTATCTCAAATGAAATAAATACACTGTTACAAACCAACTGATTTTCAAATGCCTGTTCCATTCTCTTATTCAGTTTTCTACTGCACCGAATAATTCCCTTGCCGCGCCAAGCATAAATTGCAACAAGATAAGTAACGAGCACTACTTATACGCTTGTATATTTATACACCATTACCCGGACGACGTTACATGGGATTACCCGGAGTACTGGAGCGGTCCTGTCCGGTATCTCAAATATATTACATACAATAATGAGTATACCGCGGTTCACGTTGGTGGAATATATTGGCCAAAGAAGCAAAGTAAGTTCCCGTTGGTTTTATACCACCTATTATTGAAGCGGATACTAAGTGAATGATATCAACAGATATAACCAGTGAAAATGTTTTCAAGACTTGTTAAAAGATCTCCACCAACCACACTAATTTTAGGACTGCTAAATTAGGGACGTGATAATACCACTTAAACTGATTTTAGCCATGTACCGTACAAAACATTTCTCTTACACAAACTAATGCATTTAAAATGAAAATTTGCTTCACATTGATCCCGTCATTTGACAGCTGTTGAGAACGAAAAATTTCGTGAGTTTGCTTCATTTTGTTTGCTAAGGGCATGATTGAGTATTCCATACTCTCACATGAGCAATGCTATGACGTTCCCATCAAACATCAGTCGCATCTGCAAATACTCAAAACCAACTTATTTCTATTAGTCGGCTTAAATACTTTCCCTCATTTTATGTTATTCAAGTGAAAGTTAGCTGCATTTCGGCGTGATTGTGTGTGGGCGCGTTAAATCAAGTCATCCCGGAGCTATGATTTAAACCATATTTATTCTTATGTGCGTTGTACTATTTCGTTCCCAAGACATGGATACGGTCATGAAAGTCGAGCCATGGAGAATGGATATCTGCGCGTCATTTTTCGAAAAAGTAAGTTCCATATTTACTGAGTGCTCGATTCGATGCAGTTTTCCTTGATGGATATTAACTTGAGCAGCAATGAAACAGCAACGCATCTTGTATTTAACAATCCAGAGTTCATCATCAACATATTGTATTGGACATATTGTTCTAATGCGGAAACGGTTAGGAGTGCAGAACTTTTAGGTTAAAATGGTATGTAAAGCTACTCATTGTTTCAGACTGATATCCTAGGTAGATAATATTTTATAGATATATCAACATGGGATCAGCCGACCGACGTATACTTTCACTGTCCAATTTCCTTTGGCAGTGCCTCATCAGACACGATCTGATCATGCGCCTACAAGCTCCGAACCACAGTTGGATTTAAACAGTTATGGATCATCTAGGTGCTACTAAGATGGTTGATTATGGCCACTGCATTTGCATCCGGGTTCCGGGTCAGTGCTCCTTAGGATCGGTCGGGTCATTGTCACCCTTTCAGATCGACGGTTATGAAATCACACATACGTTGAACAGATCCAAATCAGACGTGCTACTTCATAGAAGTTCCAGTTGTGTCTGTTTAAAAGGATTCAAGTGTGGGGTTAAAAATTGATTGTTTTCATCCGGATCCGGTGTTCGTGCTTGATGAAACTGATAAAAACGTGAAATACCATCTCTTAGGACATCGCCTGCACATTTGAAGCATATGACGATTAAGCGCCCTTTGTCATAAATGAAGATCACTGCAAGCACTTCACGGCATCCAAACAGCAGGGTTAATCCAGTGCTTTATTAACAAATAAAGTAAACTAGCTTAATTATTTTTCTGAGAGTGATATTCATTTGTGCGCTTCAAGATTTGTAAAGTGTTTCGTTATATTCAAGTCATTAAATCCCAACTCTCTAAATGATTTAAACGTGAAGTGAGACACGAAGCAAGGTCAATGTTACAATAATTTCGAGCTACACATACTGATTCCTCCGCATCGCATGCAACAGATTATCTTCCCAAATTTGTGTTATTAGCAGAACTGTCAAGGATCAACCTTCTTTAGTTTGCGTAAGACAATCGTTACCCATAACCCATTGTTCAGATAAAATCAAACTGTGCTATTCACATTTTTACCTACCAAGATCCACGAAAATTGGAGCCAAGTGAGTGAATACATCGGAGTTTTGCTGAAGCGGGCAAGGTTTTGGTTGAGTTAAAAAACTTTATGCGTATTGGATAAACATGGCTGAATGCTTCTACTTCAGAGTTTGCATAATGGACTTAAGACCATTGTAACTGCAAGCATTAGTTGTCATAAAATCACAATACACTTTGAACTGGTTGATACACTCGGTGATGACCTTTGCATTACAGCAGTCTAAATGTCGTGTGGAATTCATTGAACGGGCAATTACAAATCCTCCATACACATTTGCAAGACTGAACGTATTGATCCCTGTTTACATGGCCGAAGCACAGATGACATATTTGACAGACTTGCAACTTGTCAACAGATTGAAGAAGCCTGAGGAGAACTGCATATTTCCTGTACACATAAGACGGAAATCAGCGTCCTATGGTATGCACATAATTTGTCACAATATTAACCAACCAAAATATTTTCACTATAACTGATTTTCATGCGTTGGATCTGTTTGATCGCATTTGCATCGCTTTTACGGGATTCACTTGCTGTACTTCACTTCGCTTTGAAGTAATTCAACGAAGTAAAATATCCAAATTACAATGCGCTTGAAATCTTCGTGCAAAATTCTTGCAGGGGAACAACGCTAGAGATCAGAGTAGCTACATCAACCGTTAGTATACAAAATAAAATCGCAGCAGAGATTTTCCATCGCACTTGGGTGTGAAGAACGAAATGAAAATATTCGTGGATGCATGCCATTCATCTGTTCCTTGCAATAACAAAAAAAGTAAATAAATTGTGCGTATATATGTATATATACACAAGAATCTATTGGTGAGCATTAAAAGAAGTTATTGTGATTTCGCGAGGTTATATCGCAGTAAGACTCGGCAAGTGTGCCATCACACACCAAGGCAGCACTGAACTGACTTTGCGCCCCACACGTCCTCCTCAGTAGCGCGCACCTGCCGAAACGTGCTTAATTCAAACGTAACATTCTACGCTTACGGGCTAGCAATATATGTAAATCAAATACGGACCGCCATGAGTGATGCTTAGCTGTTACTTAGCGTGTCAACTTGCATTCCGCCTCGATTAATGGCGGCTTGCATAGGAAGCGCTAGCCCCACTGACCAGCCTTGTCTTCGGCACGTTCATACACTGTCCTATATCACAGCTATATATAAGTCATCGCGCATCACCACCGGCACCCACCGTATAGTGGCATAAGTTGCTGGCTCGAAATACTAAGTTCATGGGTTCGAATCCATCAGAAATCGGCAGGTGCGCGCTACTGACAATTCCCAATAGAATGAAAAGTCAATCTAGCGCTATCCTGGATGTGTGGCAGCGGTCTAGCTGAGTCTATCTGCGACGGAAGTTTCGTCAATCATCTCAGCTGTGTACAGAGTACTACGTTTCGTTGGATTCACAAGCGCAATTTTTTGAGTTCTGCGCTTATTTGCTACACACTACACAACTTATTATTTTGCATTAAATATCAATCTAGATTGTTTGCCTTACTGTAATATCAAATGAGCATATTATTGCAGTTTTAAAGTTGTCTAAGTCTCTAAACTCGTGTATCGAGCTCCTTAAGATTTGCTACTATAACATAACAAGGTCAAAATAATCACCTATCCCCTCTCACTCGTAATTAAGAGTCAACCCTATTAAAACAACTGGGTTCGAAAACAGCGTTACACGACAATATCAAAGCTTATACACTTGACAATAGTTTCACAATTTTAGTTTCAAATATAGGCATAAAAAGCGCAAATTACTGTCTAACGGACTATGTGAGCTTCGATTTACAAAACGCGCCTAAATCAGACAAGGCGAGAGGGATACAAAAGAATATAGCCTGGAGCTTGTCCATAAAAACAGCAAAAACGCCACGGAAAGAAACGAAAAGCTATGATGAATTTCATGTATTCAACATAGTTCTTTCGTTAGAAATACCATAGACCTTTCTCATAGGAGTGCCTAAACTTAAAGCACCGCCGGATGCTTTCTTTACTACCACGTTTGTATAAGTTGAAAACGATCCGAAGCAGGCTTACACATCGCTATTTCGAACAAGCAGTTAAGATACTCATCACATGGTTCCGTTTGTTCCATGGTAAACCTCTGCGAGATGTGATCGTCACACCAGACTCCACACGGTTGTCGGTAGGAACACCGAGCTGCAGCTTTTCACTTCCCAACTCATGCTGCCTCTACAGCTTGAAAAATACGTTGTGTGTAGATATCGGTTTTTGGACAAGATACTTGACCTTCCTCTGCGTGATGCGTAACATCAACAACAACAGGAGACACTGAAGCAAATCTACCCGAGAGCGCTGCCTAGAGGGTTTGGGTCATGGCGTAAACAAAACGTGCGCCACTGTTGTCGTCGCACATCCTCTCTGAAAGATGCTCTCTCCTCAGAGATCCTCGACGCCTTGTACAGCGTAGTAAAGAAAAATGCCGCCGCGTTCATATGGGAAGAGTCATCTCTGAGCCTTACTGGTATCATACGACACAAAATTGACACAGGGCCCGCGAGGCCTATCACTCAGCGACCACGCCGTGTACCAGTGCAATAACGTGCGGAGCTCAAAAATTTGGTAAAACAGATGCTTGAAGCAAACATTATTACTCCATCGAAATCACCATGGGCCTAGCCAATAGTCCACGTCAAAAAGAAGGATGGTTCTCTGCGCCTCTGTGTAGATTTTCAAAAGCTAAATGAAGTAACCCGCAAGAATTCGTTTCCAATGCCTCGTGTAGATGACACTTTGGAAATCCTTGGGGGGAGGAGAGCAATGGTTTTCGACCCTTGATCTTGCCTCTGCATATTGGAAAGTAAAAGTCGATCTAAGAGACCATGAAAAGACTGCTTTTGTGATACCGTCGGTACTGTACGAGTTTTAAACTATGCCCTTCAGTTTATCAATTGCACCGGCCACATTTCAACGTCTAATGCATGTCGTTCTTAGAACTTTGATAACACCCATCAGTGCCTAGTTTACTTATACGAAGTAATAGTGCATAGGCGCTCCCTGGAGGAACATTTGGAGAATCTGGATGTAGTACTACACAGTCTTGTGGATGCTTGTCTCAAGTGATAACCACACAAATGTCTGCCATTATGGAAGGAGGTGACGTTCTTAGGCCATGTCATTATTCATCGGGGGTTCAGAGTGACCCAAATAAGATAAAGGTGATTCAAGACTGGCCTATTCCGCGTTCCACGGAAGACGTGTGACAGTTTTTGGGCCTTGCTTCCTACTACCAAAGGTTAATCCGCAACTTTGCAGACATTGCCGCACAACTAAACCGCACAGTAGTCATTTTAATCTTCTTACGCCTGATCTTCAACCTGGGGTGTTTTCGCCTGGAAGTGAGTAGATTCATTACACTGGCTGTGAAAGGAAAGATAGCGACTCATCATAACCACACCGTTTTGGTTCGTGCAAAGTATAATTAGGATACAATAATAAGCCTACTGTTTTCTCTCCCTCCATTGGGAAAATATTTTGTGCACCTACGGCATTTCATAGGGCCATATATATTGATCAAACATCACCTATCCCCAAAATTGATTTCCTTCAGCCCTTGGATCCATCTCATTTATTTCCTATGAAAATTCATTTAAAAACGTGTATATTGACGGTTTATATCACCAGTGATAATTTGTACAATAGTTATCGGACAACGTCGGACAAAATCCCATCATCATTTAAGCGTAGCTTCAGCTGTTTTGTTTTTTATTTCACTCCCCCCACTGTTGTCCACGACTGAGCGGAACTCTTGATGTGACGGATAAATGTATCCGAAAAAGCATTAATCTCAAGAAATTCGAGTAGTTACCAACTAACTGGAGAATAATAAAGGAACTCTACTCTGATTAGCTAAATGATGCTTTTATAATGGAGAGAGCTAAATATTTTACATAGGCCTCCACATTCATTTATACATATTTATGTACAGTGTGTCACCATGAGGATGACAATATTGCTTATGACAACAGCCAACAAGAGAAATACGAGTCGAATAAATCCATTGGCTACTTGCATTAAGCCACAACAGCAAATGACCAGATGAGTTGTGTAATTGAAGTGTGGAAGCAACTCTCCGGGAGACGGTTCCATGAGACGTCGTAATGTTTTACTTGACCTGACGGTTATAACAACTTGTATACGTACTCTCAACCTCTCCATGTTTTACTACTTTAAATTACTGAGCATGGTAAACACTTAAGGGAGAACAAAACTGTGCTTGAAAAATGTATCCATATTCCAGCTTTGTTTTACCAGTTGATCAGGCAGGTATTTTACCTGTTTCAGGCATGACGAGAAGTATACTTTTGTTTTGTTGTTTTGGTAGATGATGCAATTTAATCCGAGTGCCTAGTAGCCGCTTCTAATTCAGTTTATACTCTACACGTTTGGAAAACCATTATTTGTCCATTTCGTCTCATCGAAATTTCGCAGCATTGCGTATTTGTCAAATTCGCTTAGATTTGAACACATGCCCCTCTAGCAGATTGCATCATTTACCCTGCAATTTATGAAAATAAAGGCAGCTGACCATCTTGAATTAACTGATACTAATGATGTGGTGCATTGCAACCAAATACTAAATATTATGTGAGACGTAACCGTTGTCAGTGTAAGGCGTGTCTGAGGACCAATCTTGTCAACGTCAACGTTCGCAACTTAGATTCCAGTAGACTATGTGGCGCCATATTGCAGCCATTTGTAATGCATGACAGGCCATAACCGTCCTAAATGCACCTTGGACACCAACTGCTGGAATGTAGTACAGCTGATGGTTATGCGCGGCTGATCATTGCGGATAGCAGTTAAAGAAAGTCTGGTGCTGTTCCGAGCGCCTGGAATACTACTCAGGTTCAGGCTTGTTCTCCAAGCAGAACCATTTCATTGAAGACGTTTACTTACCCATCAAGGTTAGTTAGTCGATGCGTACTACGCAAAATTGACCAAAATGAGGGTAATGTTTGAACTGTAGAATACAAAAGGTTTGGAGGAAAGGAGTGGCTGACTGATGCCGCGACCAGCTGTCGCTCGGGCGGACACCAGTCGCTGGAAATCTATAGTTAGTTTTCACCAACTCGTGCATTATTTGCACTTCCCTGCCTCATGTCAACTTGACAAACTTATATCCAACACTAATTCCGGTGTGACCGTCGTGTTTATGCTTAGGAGATTTTCTGTTCAAGCTCCTTGCCTTTTCATTATTATGTAGTCATGATCTTCACGATATTAATATTGCATATACTCGTAATTTCCCCTAACGAATGTGCAATCCCTCCTCGCAAATTACGTTCCGATATTCGGGAACTAAAACAACACTGTCACGCAGCTCTGGGCATGAAATTTACTCATGCTAACTGCTCTACGCTAGTCCATGTATATGAGCTCACTGACCATGTGAGGCGATTGATCTAGCACACACTTTTGTATTGGCCCATGATCCTCAATAGCGATTGGTCACAGAATATTTTACACCCAACTGCAAGTTGTACCCCGTGAAAGAGTTATAACCGTAGGACTAGACCATAATAGAAGTAGAAACAGGCGGATTCTTCAAAAAGCCTTGGTCACATTGACCCGCCTGCAAGTGTGCTGTGGAACCTTTGGAATTCCGCAGACCAAAAGTTGAAAACACTGCCGCACCCTATCTCGTCGGCTGGTGGCATGTGCCATGTGACTTATCGTTTGTGCAAAACACTGTTTGTTAGGCCCTCCAACCGTGTACTAACATCAAGAATGTTTAATTATTTCAGCCAATGTGTTCACGCATTTCATTAGTACCCAGACAACACTCAGCAATCGCAATATTCTTCGTACTTAGTTACCTACAACTTATAATTAGGGTTTATTTTCTGCAGCGCTACTATAATGTAGTACCATTAGAACGTCAGTGTCCGTCAATTCCACTGTCGTATAAACCTATCTGCAGGAGGATTGAAAATCGTCTACAACTTCGTAAGCACACCTAACGAACAGATGCACACAAATCTATTCTATAAACCTCTGTCTTTCGTAGTCCCTGTAAATTTTAATAGTGATAAGTTTTGCTTTATTGGGTGTTCCGTGTGATGAAGGTTGCACTGTATTTCATCAATTACTGCATTTGTAATTTTTGTCCCACAGTGCCTTCACATACGGTTTTTTATGGGAAACGCCTCGGTAAGTTAAATCACGGCTCATTTTGCTCCATAATTCTGACCCTTAAGCCGTTACTGTTAGCCATCTTAATTCCAACGAAATCCCAGAAGTCCGCCCCGAGTTTTCCTCGAAACCATACAAGTGGTTGGTATAGTGCACCTTTCCTTAGTGAGTAGTAGAGGGATGTTTTGGTATTTGTTAACATTCATCGTAGCCAGATTCAACAGGGCTGCCACCACAAATTCAGCGAAGTGCTAGACGGCATGGTTGTTCCATTGGGCATTGTCAGTAGCGAGCATCTGTCAAATGCTGCTGGATTCGAACTAGAGATCTTATTCTATTGCGCCAGCAACATATGTCACTGTCATGCTTGACGACGGTTGACCGTCATGAATGATATATATTTGCGCTTTAGCGCAGCAGCTTCCTTACCGTTCAGAATAATGGTGGCTTTCAAAGGGATTTACAGCACTTGGGGGCCAGTCATTTTCTCTAGCGCCTTCACCACCTGCTTTATATATATTAGGGTATGGTGATCCGACGCCATCAAGCATGTATCAGTGACATATATCTTTGGCACGCAAGAGTAAGCTCATTGGTTGGAAGCCAGCAAAATTCGCTACTGCTGGAACTCAGTGGGAAGAAACGAGCGTCTATCGTTTTCCTGAGTATGGTGGCAGGTTAAATGAGTCTAATTACTACTATCCTTCTTTAAGTTGCGCTTTGGCCACATTGGATGCTAAATTTCCTTTCACACTAAACGGTACATAGTTGCTTAACATATCATTAACCCTTATTCTCTTGCAACAGAGGTTATTGTGAGTTTTGAGAAAGTGAGAATCGTGCAGTTTCATCAAGAAAGGAATACAGACACGATTATTTGCAATAAAGTAAGTGTTTTCTATCTATGGTTGGATCTTTGGTGTAATAACGGATTGACTAATAATTTATTAGACTGTGTTCAATTATCAGTTCTTTTCGAAGTGTTTCACGTTGCCGGGAAAAAGACTTTTCGTGTCTATCTACTTTCGTTATCTTCAGCTCATTTACCTGTCCTCCAACATAATACAAGCGTGCAGCAACATCACGAGATATGGGAGGTCGCATATAGTCGCATCCGTTCTAATCGGCCCAACTGTAGGTTCGGTGTACGAAGCCGAACTACAGCTTATGTTACAACTGAACTCCAGGAACCCAGGACAATGCTTTTACAATGTGATGCTCAAGGAGATCCCCAAGGTTTATTAGAATAAACTTGCGTGCTTACGTTGTTAAAAACGAGCGCTCAAACGAGATACACGAATTCAGGTGTGCTCAAACTTTTAATCGCTAAGATGTTGCTCGCACATTGTTATAAATGAAAAGGTCATGTTTACCATTAATATGTTATTTAAACGTCAGCTAAACATTTTGCATCAAAACAAATACCCACTATGTAACTCTTGTACCCATGAAATGTCATCCTTGAAAGCGAAACAAAAGTCATACTTCACTAACAAGAGTTGCATTTTGATTTCAAATTCTCCAAATTGGTCGCAGGTGAACAACTGTATTGATGAGATGAAATTTGCATCTGCTCCGCTTATGCCTCAGACAGCTTCTCCTCCATTTACATTCTCTTCCTTTCAAGTAACTTATATTAGTGCTGTTTTTAATGTGCACTTACGTCTTTTGTATAAATGTCTTACATGTTTGGCGGCATCCGGTTTCGGATTTACTTTTCAATGTGGCCAGCCACAGGACGCCTGCGCATACAGAGGGACCATGGTTGCCTTGCGCTGCACTAACCACAGCTTCATCCGCATACCCCATCTTCAGTGTAAACCCGAAGGAATAAGACCGGGAGGCAGGTGGATATGGGCCAGGTTTCATCAACGGAGCCGGCCCACAATCCTTCACAGGCAAACACAAGCACACTGTATGTTGGGGAATCAAATGCACACAAGGCAGTAGCTGGATCGTAGTCCTCCTGCCTTATCCTCAAGGAATAGAATCATTCATTTCATCATGAATTCAGCGCAAGCAAAAATTTTTTTAATTTAACTCAAAACCCTGAGAGCGCTAAATTTTGCTAAGCTTAACCACATTATCCACGCACAATTCCTAAAGCACTCAGTGCAAGTGAGAACAATAACATTTAAACGGCTAACCTCGTAACCTAGTTTCACTCGCTCACCTGTAGTTTGTTTTTTCCCGTGTCAATAAATCACACTGGATGCTTCGCGCTGAGAATGGTAAGGACAGTTGTGAGCAATGCACTTGCATTTTCACCTTACTTTAGCACAATACCATATTGTCTGTGACCATGTGTTGCAGTTGTAGTGACCGCGTTTGCTATCTTGTTAGTTGTTTGCACCATACGCGAGGTCCCAAATCTCTTATAATGTTGGTCCAAAACAACGGAGCACTATGGCAAAGCAAGCGTGATAGAGTAAATCTAATTGCTTGTGTTATCCTAGCCATACTGATTTTGGCAACTTACACCTCGGATTCATCCTTTGCTGTGGAACCCGTAGAATTTCACCTTAAGAGAGCATTACGTATCAGCAGAAAAAATAGTTGCATTACTTTTTATTCCCCGGCTAACTGAGATAAATGATTCAGGTTGTCCACACCAGAAAAAATTTTAAATTCACACAAATTCCTGGTCAATGTTAAGAATTGCACTCAAGACACCTGTTTTATTTGCAACTATCCAGTTACTTTTCGACGGTCCCATGGTGTGTTATGTCCGTTTTATATAACTGTGCATACTCAACGACACGACGTCCAACGGATGTAAGAATCCCAGTTGCACCTGGCATAGATTATTTACCTTTGTTTTGTCCAACGGACACTGATGTCACAGCAAGTGAAAGTCTGAGTGCTGAAGACGATTGAAAAGAAGAAAAAGCAGAATTACGAACGGAGGTTGGGCGTTTGACATCAGCAAATTAAAAGTTAGCAAAACCAACTGAGGCTGGTACTATACTTCGCTCTGCAAGGTCAATCTCTTCCGACCAGAGAGCTTATAACATCGTGGTCTTCCACGCGCTGGAGTCCAGTGATCAGTCACCCAAAGTGCGGTACGAGCGGAAGTCAAAAATTTACATAGCCTAATTAACAGACAACTTGACGCTGGTGAGGACTCGATAAAAGTGATGTGTTACTCGTCCTGGAATGCAAAGTGATTAACAAAATCGACCTACGATAATAATTTTTGTGGACGAAGCCAGTCGAAGACTGATCATGTCCCGCCTTAGTGCGCTAAACGTTTTGAATATCCATGTTTGTTCAGATCTGGGTTCAGTAGACACGGGGCGGCTCAATGCTGTCGTTATTGAGCTGAAAAGACGTGCTGGTGAGGGGTAAACAAATCATCGTATCGCGAATGTTCGGGTGGTTTCCAACAATCTGCGCATAAGGAAAATCAATCTGCTTACACTTCAAGCACGCCCGGTGACTCCTGCTGCAGCCTACGAGTAGCTTCCATAAACCTTTGCAGTGTAATAACAAGAGTGATGAGCATCGTTTTCAGTTATGTCTAAGCATCCAGATGTATGGGAACTCGCATCGACATGGCTGCATGCAGGGTTATACACCCAAGAACTTGAGCTCAACACTTACTCGTGCTTTCGGTGCGATCGACTCCATAACGTCTACGGTGGTGTCTTACTTTACATCCGATCTCACCTGCTTGGGAGTATTTTGAGCACCTATCAAAGTGACCATGGTTTGTACGACCTACTCGGTTGCTTTATCCATTAGGCGCGGCGAACTGCTTGTGGGCGCAGTTTATCACAGCCCCTTGGGTCGTAGTTCGAACTGGTTGCCCCATCTTCGATACCACATAATTCGTCCACACACATTCTACTTTTGGGCACTTTTAACTATGCTGGAATGCAGTGGACTGATGTGCATTTGATGCCTGAACAAAGTGAGGTTGAAGCAAATTTCGTGAATTTTGTACTTGAAACTGGTGCATTGCTACACCCATGTCAGTCAAAATGCATAAGAACTCGCTCAATCCCTTCCCTATCTCGACCTGATGTTAATGAGCTACGAACAAAGAGCGCTTGACTTTCGTTTCTTGGAACCCACCACTACAAGCGACCACTCAGTGTTCATAGGTTATATGGAATTATTTTTGCAATATTTGCGTCCCTTTGAACTAGCTTAAAACTACCGAAATACGGATTGGAATGGTCTTGCTCGAGCAGCCAGTCGCTGTCACAAGCTGCATCTGTGGAAGACTGTTGAATATTATAAAAGAGGGGGACAGTAATTTTTTAACAATTTTTGCCATTGAAATATTGGATGGTTGGACCGATTTAGCCTTATTTATTTGACGAGGGGTAGGGAAACCTGGCTGGAAGTGGAAGCGGATTGTGGGACAAATTCAACCTCTCTGGCTTTGGCAATGATTAGCAAGTGTATTAAAATCAATGGATGCACTGCAGCATTGCAAAATGAATAAGTGCTAACCTTTAGAAGAGCAGTTTGCAATGGCCGCGAAGAGTGATCCAAAGAGAATGTTTGTAGACGGGATGCGACTCCTGAATCGGTCAGGTGAAGTGCCAGTGCTGGAGGTCCCGGATGGACAGACCCTATACTCCAGCACTGAGGGTGCGTCCGCTTTGGCTCAAATCCTTGCTTCTGTACTGGAGAATGATTAGGTGTCTCTTCCGATTTCGACTTGTACCGCTTTTACCGAACTCGACAGTCTAGATTGCGGCTTTGGAGAGGTAAGTCAACTACATGTCAAACGTGACGGCAACAACTCTGCCGAAACTGAGGGGCTTCACCCACCGGTTTTAAACACATTTTTGACCACCATCTCTTTTGGCGTGACCGACCATTTCAACAAGTCACTGTCCGAAGGTTTGTGGCCGAATGACTGAAAATGTTTGGTGATAAAGCCTATTACGAAAGACGGCGACACTTGCAGAGTAGGCAACTACAGGCCTATTTTTCTGCCTCCTATTTTTGTAAAGGTTGCTGGGAAAATCCTTAAGAAGGGATTTCTGCAATTGCTACAGTCAAAGGAGATACTGACGCAAGCACCACAGGGTTGTATGCAAGGCCGCTCACGGATTACAAACCCGTATGTGACGAGGCATGATTGCTTGAAAGCAATAAGCAAATGGAAGACTTTGTGTGGTGTCGGTGGCTCACTGCACCGGTGGATCCGCTACATTCTTGTAAGATGCAAGTGGAGAGTACAGGTCGAGGACCATCCACATGTATGGTATTCCTCTAAAATGGGCGTGCCTTAGGACAATGTGCTGGGGCCCACTCATTTCCTGATCCACATCAACGATCTACCACAGATTCTCCGGCCGCATTATGCTATGTTTATGAACGACATAAAGCTTTGGATAAATAGACGCTCCCGTCGAATGTGACCTACTTCAACTAGATGTCAACCGCCTATCCACATAGTCTGCAGCAGTTCTCCCGGTCAACCCGGCCAATTCTGTATTTCTGAGCCTCAGAAAAGGTGCTGACAGCCAAAATTAACCGTTGACATCAAACCGCTATATTCTACACCCTCCGTGAAGGACTTAGGTGTACTCTTGCGCTGCGATTTGAAGTCCGTTGACAACAAGAACAGGCTATGTCTAATGGACTACGCACGCATTGGGCGCTCAAACCTAGCTTCGGCATAATGTCAGAAGACGGTGCCACTCGCTTCTTCTCTTCCATCATTAGACAAATGATGGAGTAGAGTTCGCCCGCATACTTTCCGATTAACCAAGATGAGGTGCAATAGGTCAAACCAGTCAAAAACATTTCTATCAGGCTTTTCCCGAGTTTACGTGGCTTGGGATATGGAGACAGGTGCGAGAAATTAGGACTATACACCTTGTCCTAACGTCGGGTGCGAGTCAACCTCATTATGATTAACCGTATTCTACAACTCGGTGACTTCCCCATGCTGAGGCCTATGCTGCACTTACGAGGGCCATGCAGCACACGCAGACACAGATACACACTTTTCGTTTCGGAAGTGTAACGTTTTCCCCAACCAATGTGATTTGAACGGAGAGTGGTAAATATTTGGAACAGTTTGCCTGAAAATGTGATAAAGGCAACATTTGTTAGCTGTTAAAAAACGTTGTTAGATTGATATTTTAAGGTCATTCGATTCACATGAAAACTGCATGATTAGTTTTTTGTCTGGGTGTTCGCTGAGCTGAGCAGGTTGACTGCAAGCGTTTCGTCACCACTCGAGGTGACATCGTCAGTGCGCGTGCATGATTAAGTTGACATGTCACATTTGTGACTCCCACAATACCGT